CTTTGATACATTGCAGGGAATATGAATTTGTGCCTCTAATTCCAGAACCGGTTTGGCTTTATACCTCAATTTCTAGATGTATAAAGTTCTTCTGTTCCCATTAACACTGGCCCACCTGAGGCCACAATCCATTCAGCTACTGCAACGACTTTCAAACTGTTCTTCCAGCTCTCAACCCCATCTAGCTCCCTCCAGCAGCTAGAGTGGCCTTAAAAGGGGGAGCGGTCTTTGTAGCCCAGGCTGGTCTCAAACTCAATTTGTAGCTGTATTAGTCAGGGTTCTCTAGAGTCACAGACCTTATGGAATGCCTCTCCCTGACCCCCTTTTCCCGTCTCTCTCTCTCTCTCTCTCTCTCTCTCTATATATATATATATATATATGTGTGTGTGTGTGTGTGTGTGTGTGTGTGTGTGTGTGTGATTTATTGGAATGACTTACAGGCTGCAGTCTAGTTAATCCAACAAAGGCTAACTGTGAATGGTAAGTTCAAGAATCTAGTAGTTGTAGGGGGCTGGAGAGATAGCTCAAGAGGTTAAGAACACTGGCTGCTCTTCCAGAGGATCTGAGTTCAATTTCCAACAACCACATGGTGGTTCACAGCTATTTTGTTTATTCAAGACAGGGTCTCTCTGTGTAGCTTTGGAGCCTGTTCTGGAACTTGCTTTGTAGACCAGGCCAGCCTTAAACTCACAGAGATCCGCCTGCCTCTGCCTCCAGAGTGCTGGGATTAAAGGCGTGCGCCACCACCGCCCAGGCTCACAGCTATCTATAATGAGATCTGGTGTCCTCTTCTGGCGTTCAGGTATTCATATAGGCAGAACACTGTATACATAATGAGTAAATCTTTTAAAAAATTGTCTTGTGGCCAGGTGGCGGCGGCGCATGCCTTTAATCCCAGCACTCGGGAGGCAGAGGCAGGAGGATCTCTGTGAGTTCCAGGCCAGCCTGGTCTACAGAGCGAGATCCAGGACAGGCTCCAAAGCTACACAGAGAAACCCTGTTTCGAAAACAAATAAATAAATTTAAGGTCATTCTTGGCTATTGTGAAGGCTATTCTCGGTTTTCAACTTGGCTATATCTGGACTGAACTACAGTCCAGAAATGGAGGGCACACCTGTGAGAAGTTTTTTGTGTGGTTTGAAGTGGATGAGTCCATTTCCAGTCCAGACCTTTGAGGCTGGAAAACACAGCTTTGATTTGGATCTTGAGGTGGGAAGACAAACAAACACCTTTAATCCAAATCTTGAGGTGGGAAGACACACCTTTTATCTGGGCCACACCTTCTGCTGGAAATGTATATAAGGATGTGGAAGAAGGAAGCTTTGGTCTTTGCCTGCCTCCCCTCACCTTGTTAGGGAATCTATTCCTTCTCTGACATTGGAGCCTAATTCAAGACCAGCTGAGACACCCAATCTTGTGAGACTGAGCAACTACTAGATTTTTTCTTTCTTAATGTATTTTACAAGACATTTGTTTGTTTGTTTTTGTTTTTCGAGACAGGGTTTCTCTGTGTAGCTTTGTACCTTTCCTGGATCTCGCTCTGTAGCCCAGGCTGGCCTCGAACTCACAGAGATCAGCATGCCTCTGCCTCCCGAGTGCTGGGATTAAAGGCGTGCACCCCCACCGCGCGGCTCGACTTTGAATTTCTAATCCTCGGTGCCGGGATTACAGACGATCAGGGTCAGGGCTGGGATACTTTTTGTTTTGCATTAGCATATATTAATCCCACACAGTGGGTTTCCCTGTGCCATCTTCCCGTGTGTATCTAATGTACTGTGACCATGTTGACCCCGCACCCGGCCCCTCGCCCCGCTGCCGGCCTTCCTCTTTCCGACTGGTCTCCCTAGGGCTAGGATATCTGAGTGAGCGTGGAGGTTGGGAAAACGCAGGCGCGCTGCCGGGGGGAGAAGCCGGCGAGAGGAGTCCAGGAGATGGCGGTCCCGGGCGAGGACCTTAACCGGGGATCGTGCAGACGGACGGACAGCGCGTGGCCGCGAGCGGACCGTACATCCGCCGCCCCAGGGCGCTCGCTGGGAACCCGCGGGAGCGCATGCGCTGCACAGACGTCGCGCACGCGCGCAGAGGCCGGCAGTTGAAGGAGGCGGGGTCTGCACGATCATTCACTCGGCTGCGGAGTAGGCGGGAAACCAAAGCGACATATTTCCGCTTCCGTCAAGGGCCGGAAGTTAGCGTCTCCCGGGTGAAGCGGCTTGGGCTGCGCGAGGCAGGGCTGGTTCAGGTAGGTGCGGGGGTCCCGGGCGCTGGGCCGGGCGGTGCGGGGTGCGCTTGTCTAGATCACCCGCCGGGCGTGGAGCCGAGGCCGGGGCATGGCTCTGCGGGCGGACGGACGGCCGTGTGTGAGGGGCCTGAGCACCGGCCCCCCGCAGCCGGGCGAGCGGCCGCGCCACCGAAGCCGGGGGAGGCTGATGGCGGCGCCGCGCCCCCTTCCCGCCACCCTGGTTGTCTCGAGACGCCACGGCCTCTTCGCCGGTGGGATGGGATCCTGGGGCCACACAGATTCGGAAACGCTGATGCCTTTAACAAGTGGTTCTTAAGTGCTTGAGGTGTACACGGTGCGTGCTGGGGACCGAGCCGTGGCCAAGTGAAATCCCCCCTCGGAGATGGACGGGCAGGGTTGCAGACGCTGGACGACCTATAAGGAGTTGAAGGGCTGGGGAATTGTTTGTTTTGCATGGTGTATGCGAGTGTCCAGAGGACAGCTTGCAGGACTCGGTGCTCTCCATTCACGTGAGGGTCCAGGGCATTGAGCTCAGGCTGTCAGACTTGGCAACCAGCATCTCTACCTGCGGAGCCATCCTGCTTACCCTGTTCTGAAAGTTTTGAAATCTTCATGTGTATTATGTGTCTGTGTACAGAGGTTAGCGGACAGCTTGCGGGGTACATCCTCTCTTTCCACCTTTACGTGGGTTTCCGGGGACCAAATTCAGTTTGTCAGGGGTGGCAGCAGTGCCTGTCCCAGCCGAGACAGGATCGACCAAGGTGGCCCGAGATGGCCTGGGGAAGCTCTGTGATTCCGTTGTGGGTGGTTGCCAGGGCCAGACTGGAGGGGAAACTGGACAGCTGCGGGACCAGGTCCGGGGTCCGGCCCATACTTTCCTCTTGGGCATCTCATACTCTATCCCTGTTGTTCCTAGAGCTTCCGCCCTTCTCTCTGGGGTAAAACTGAGAAAACGCTTCATCTGCCTCAGACCCTTTGCAGTTCTCTCTCTTCCTGGATTTCTTGTATCAAAGCTGCCTTTTGTCATCCAGGCTTCATCCTAAATGACTCACTCCGCCTTCACCCAAAGTAGCCCTGTCTCAGAAACTTTGATTTAATTCTAATAACCTCATCGTGATCTTTAAGATTCATCCAGTTATGAGATTTCTTATTAAGAGCCTGTCATCTGTCGCCGGCGGCGCACGCCTTTAATCCCGACACGCCTTTAATCCCGACACGCCTTTAATCCCGACACGCCTTTAATCCCGACACGCCTTTAATCCCAACACTCCTTTAATCCCGACACTCCTTTAATCCCGACACTCCTTTAATCCCGACACTCCTTTAATCCCGACACTCCTTTAATCCCGACACTCCTTT